CATGCAAAGCAATGAGGAACCACTTTCCAGGAAAAGGGAAAAGACGTACAAAGGCCTTGAGAGAGGAAAGAAAAACTGAAAAAAAAAAAAAAAAAAAAAGGCCAGTGTAGCTGCAGCTACTTGGGGTGAGAACAAGTGGAACGCAATGAGGTTGAAGAGGTAGGGATATAGAAGCAAAGTCATGCACAGCCTCACACCCCATGGTAACCAGTTGCCACCACAACCCCGTATGTTTCAGAGTAGAACTGTCTTCCATAGAATTTTCAATGCTTGTGACCTTTCAGAAGCAGATCGCCAGGAGTTTCTTCTAAGGCACCTCTGGGTGGATTCCAACCACCAGTCTTTTGGTTAATAGCCCTGCGCTTAACTGTTTGCACCACCGCATGGTAGGATGTTTGAATTTTACAAGTTTTTTCAGCGCATAGCAAGCGATGAAAGATTTTAAGTAGAAGAGGGACCTGATCCAATTTATATTTGTCCCAAATCACCCCTGTCCCCTAGGTGGAGAGTGGATGGTAGGTGAGAGGGAGCGGAAGCAGAAGTGAAAAGACTTGCAGATGCCAAGAGATGATGGTGACCTGGACAAGGTTGGCTGCAGTGGAGATAGGAAGATGAGGAAAATTCGAGATACCTGGAGGTGGCAAGAACTGGATTTGCTGATGAATTGGGCTTGGGGGGACGGGGCTGAGAGGGAGGATACAAAGATAGTGACTCCCAGGTTCTGGGCTTGAATAACTGAGATGAGGATGGAGTGATGGAATACAACAAGTAATACAGATATTAGTCTCATTCTCTCTTAATCACTGAGGAGGGGGAGCGAATTGCCTTACTTCACATAGTAAGTGGACTCCAGTTCAGGTGTATCTGACTCCAAAGGTCATATTTTTTTACTCTCCAGACCCACATATTAATTTCTATAATGGGACGTGGCACAGTAAATATTAAGAGTTATAAATGCCCCTGAATGCAAACGTGGGTTTCCACATGGAGACTGGACAAAGCCTGGGATCTCCCACAAAGGCCACTGCATACTGGGGCTGGGTATTGGAAACCGAAGTTTTGTAAATGGTAGAAAGACTGCGCGGTACCGGCCTCGGAGCCTAAATCTTGCATTCTGATTGGTGCAGGGATCCATGTTGTGGCGTGTGATTGGAGGGAAGTTAGCCTGACCCCAGTAACTAAAGTAAGGAGCTGTGATTGGTGATCGTACTAAAATGTCTTCCGCTGTGTTGGAGAGACGTAGTCTGCCTGCGTCTGTTGATTGATGGGATTGTAGCGCGGTATCCGCTGTGATTGGAGAAGCCCGTGTGGTCGTTTCAAAGTTTCTGAGTGTCAGGTCCTGCACTGGCCACCAGGAGGAGCCCGGGAAGCGCAAAAAGCGGCACTGCGGTGCATCAGGGCTGCCTCCTTCCTGACGCCCTCCTGTTCTGCGCAGTACGGGTTCTGCCCTGCGCCGTTGGGCAACCGCGGGAGAGGGGTGGGGCGGCGGAAAGTGTCAGGGTCCCAGTCCCGGCCCGGATGGCCACGCTCCTCTGCACAGCCCCCTTGGCCCCTTCCTCTGGCTCCCTGCCCCGCTGAGCACATTGGCTGACCGGAGGGGTGGGGCTGCGGGTTCGCGAAGGTTTGTGAAGGCTCGGATCCAGGTTGCAAAATTGTGGAGTCTGTCAAGCGAGACTCAACCCCCTCCACTGTGTGCGTCCTCTGCCCGCTTCTGAGTCCCTCTCCTAGGAGTAACATCCCTCCACCGAGCCCTATAAGATCCTAAAGAGCTCTCCAAAGTAGCATCTTATTGGAGATTAGAGCTGTCCCATCCAGGTAAAAGCCACCTCCTCAGAAATCAGCACATCCGAAGACGTCCTCTGCCCATCCCCAGGCACTATCCTCTTGTCTGTTTCATTGTCTTCGCTGTACTTAACCACTATTTGAAATTCTTTTCTTGTTTTTTGCTTATTTATTTGCTTACCTTCTGTCTGCACGCCGCCTCCCCACCAAAAGGGAAGCTCTGTGAGGGAGGGAGTAGGGTTGCCAGATACAATACACCCAGTTAAATTTTAATTTCAGAGAAACAACTTTTTTTTAAAAGTATAAGTATGTCCCTTGTAGTATTTGGGCTATACTTACACTAAAAAAAGAATTGTAGTCTATCTGAAATTCAAATTTAACTGGACGTCCTGTATTTTTTTGTGATCAAACTGCAAACGTAAAGGAGGAAATCTTACCAACTGGGCTCACTGTTTTGCCTCCAGCACCTACAACAGTGCCTGTGGAAGGTGTTGAATAAATCTTGAATGATTGGATGGATGAATTCCATCATTCATTCACTGATTTATTCATTCAACCGAGTCCTGTGCATACAACGGTGAACAGGGCACAGTCCAATGGAGGAGGCAGACAAGTGACCAGTACCCACCATCTGATTAAACTATGATGGATGTGAAGGACTGAGGGCTGTGGGAGCACAGAGGAGGAGACTCTGTCCCTGCCTGACTTCCCAGAGGAAGATGACTTAGCGGGAACTTGAAGAATGAGGAGGCCGAGAGAGAGATGTGACAGCTGTTTGGGCAGAAGGCCTGGCATGGGCAAAGGCCGGAGACGAGAGAAGCTGTCAGATTCTGAGAGCTGCAAGTGGTTGCAAAGGCAGGAATGTGGTGTGGATGGGGCTGTTAGAGGTGAGAAGGAAATTCACACTTACTGAGCATCACTAGCTACCATTCAGGCAAAATAGTGATGCCAGGTTGGGATTATTGTGCCCATTGTACAGATGAGGAAACTGAGGCTCAGAGGAATTAAATGCCTGGGCCTCGGTGGTCACAGTCTGGGAGAGCAAAGCCGGGCTTCAAACTCAGGTCCCACAGACTCCAAAGCCTACATACACTCTTCTAGAAAACCCATGCGTTAAGAATTATAATCTCATTTTGAGAATGAAGAAACTAAGATAGGTGACAGGGGTCCCTGGGAATACTCGGTCCAGTTTAACAGGAGAGAACCAGGGCCTTGCAAGGGGTCTGGTTTGTCTCAAGCCCTCCACAGAGAAAACAGGAGGGCCAGGGCAGGACCCAGGAGTCCATGTCACTCTGTCTCCCATTCTTGTTTGGGTTGGGTCTCTGGCAGCCCCTTGCCAAACCCTGCGGCTAATTCCTTGCATGGGTCCTGAACAGGTCCGCAGTGTCCATGGAGACCGCCTCCCACCACCCCTGAAATCTCATTGTGACCAGTATTAAGAGATTAGCTCTGCCCGGCAGCCCTCGCAGGGTCCTGGGTGCCAGGGTGGCAGCGGGAGCTCCCTCAAGGATGAAGTCCTTGCTCTCTGTGCGGGACCCCATAGCACCAGGAAGAGGATGTCAGACTGGGGCCGGGGCGTCCCCGGGGACCCACCAGGTACGGTCCTGACTGCACACCTGCCTGGAGAGGGGGATGGGGTGGGAGAGAGGCACAGAACCAAGGGGAAAAGGCAGTGTACACAGCCTGCGCCCCAACCCCACCCACGAAAGTCCAGGGCCTCCACGAGCGGATGACATTCTGGATCAAGATGGGGCCCAGATTCCCTCAACAGGGTGAGGGGAGGCCCATGGAGACTTTCTTGAGTGCTCTGAGCTTCCCGAAAGGCTGCCTAAAGATCTGCTATCCAATCTCCTTCATTTTGTAGTCTGGGGAAACTGAGGCACAGAGAGAGAGAGAGAGTGACTTGTCCAATGTCAGTGAGTCAGTGAACTGAAGCCTGTGGAGAATCCCGTGAGGCTGCCTGAGCAGAAAACATTTGGTTGAAGCTTCACTGCCACCTCTGTCTTGAATTCCAAATCCTCCTCCCTGACTTCCGGAAACGGGATCCCCTTTGTCTCCTGCTCGCCTGGGCCATCCCATTGGCCATGCTTCCCTTGCTTCTCTTCCTCCCCCACACCTCCCCTGCTGCCCGCGCAGCCCACGGGGGACAGAGAGTTCTGGGCAGGCTCCACTCCCCTGGAGGGCACAGCCACCAGGTCCCACTGTCCCATCCAGGGGCATCCCCTCGCTGGGTCACCATCTGGATGACTTCGGACATTTTTTGTTCTACTCTTAAGCCCCTCTGTGACTTTGGGGCCCCGAGACAGTGGTGGCCCTGACAACCCACCCCCACCCCACTCCCTGCCAGAGAGATTTAGTCTTCAAAGCTCAGCTGGGCCGGGCTTCCCAGAAAGCCACACGGGGTCAATGGGAAAAACACCAGCTCTGGAGTCAGGCCGAGATCGTTCCATCACATTGACATGGCTCCCTGAGAAAATGACACTCCCTCTCTAAGCCTCAGTTTCCTTGCCTGTGAAGAGGAACAATAATCGTCCCTTCTCTCCTCAAAGCTTGCTCTCAACTACTGTGGAAAAACCTCCCGGCTATGATATTAATGAGCAAAGCAAGATGCAGGACAGTGTAAAGGGAGTGGGGAGATAGGAATACATGCTCTTATATGCTGCCTGTCTGTAGGAAGAAGCCTGGAAAGATTCATAAGAAAGTATGAGAAGCGGTTACCTATGGCGGGGAGGAGGGGTGGACAGGTAAACAGGAGATGGGTGTCGAAGCAAGACTTTTCAACGTGCACTATCTTATATGGTTTTGACTTTTGAATCACGTGCATATAGAATCGACTCAAAAATAAACTAAAAATCTTTAAACAAATTAGATGAAATATCAAACAATATTAATAATCACACGTATCTCAATAATATGACAAGCGTACAGCCGAGACTGAGACCCACGCACTAGGACTTGACTCCAAGGAACGGAGAAAGCCTGTCTCCAAGTTGCTGAATCCTTGGTCTGAAAGACCCTTTATTTTAAGCCAATCTCATTTTGCCAACACCAGTAGTCATTGGTACCAAAAATCAGGAGCCCCCCACGTGCCAGACACAGTGCCAAGCACTGTCTGATTTAAATCATCTCGTTTAAATTGGCATACTGACTTTATGAGGAGGCTATCATCATTCCTAGGAGCCCTGGTAGCACAGTGGTTCAGTGCTGGGCACATAACTGAAAAGTCTGCAGTTTGGATCCACCAGCTGCTCCGAGGGAGAAATGACCTGGTGATCTGCTCCTGTAAAGATTACAGCCTAGGAAACCCTACGGGGCAATTCTACTCTGTCATACAGGGTCGCTGTGAATTGAAATAGACTCAGCAGTAATGGGTTTTTGACATTATCATTCCTACCTTACAGATGGGGAAACTGAGGCTCTCTGAAGTTGCAACCAGTAAGTTGCAGATCTGGTATGCACATCAAGGTCTTCCCAGCCCCCAGTTGCAAGCCCTGCAACAGTGGGTCTCAACCCTGGCTGCACATCAGATCACCTACCTGGGGTGTTAAAAACGACTGATGCCCAGCATGAACCCATCCCAACCATCTGTGATGGGGACTTGGTATCAGGATTTTTTAAAGGTCCCCAGAAGATTGTAATTCACCACCAGGGTTGAATCTCTGCTCTATGCTAGACAGTTTCTCATATGGGGAAACCAAGGCCAAGGAGAGAAATGTCCTTGCCCAAGGTTACCCAGTGGCTAGAACCAGAGCTCAGGCTGGCATCCCAGTAGCTTACATGATGACTTTGTGCAAACAAAATGGCGTCGCCTCTGGGCATGCAAACTTCCATGGGCACTTGCCTCAGCAAATGGACCAAGGGCTGGATTTCTACCCCATTCACCCCCTTTGTGCAGTGAACAACCTGTACAACTGTACAACCTGTACAACACAGCAACCATGGCCTGAGTCTGAGGACTCCCAAACACTGCCCCTCAGTGACCTCCAGGCAAATCCCCGGGGCCCCTCAGAATAAGGGTGTTGGGAGACTAAGGGTGGCTTTTGGGATATGGGTTCATCTTACATGCCCAGACCAGGGCCTGGGCCAGGAAGGGGTTCCGCATCCCTCAGGCCCCATGGGGGCTGGGCAGGCCCCATCTGACTCCCAAGGTCACCCCTGCAGATAAAGCCAGGAACATAAACAGAAGGGAAGAACATCAACAGGAGAGCAGCAACAGTCATCAGCTGGTGGGAGGCAACCAGCAGGAAGGCCCTGCCCACACAGACCCAAGTCCTCCTGGCTTCCTTCCTGATCGTTCTTCAGACCATATTCCCTATCCTACCTGCTGCAGTCAGCGTGGCCCACAGTCCCGTGCTCTTTGACCACAGCGGCTTCCATGCCCTTCCACCATCACCCACCACGTTCTCCACCTGTGGACATTCCCTCTGCCCAGAAACCCATGGCCTCTCCAGCCCAGAGAGAAGCCCTCCTCCCACCTCCTCCAGCCCTCCTGCCCCATGCTGCTCACAAGGCCCAGATATTTCATAACCATACTGATCCACTTTCCTTGGGCACTTACTATGTTCCAGGCCCTGGAAAGGCAGGGTAGCTGGTGGTTAGGAGCACAGACCCTGGAGCCAGACTGCTCGGGCTTGAATCCCAGCTCTTGTGTCTTATAAGCTGTGTGAGCGTACAACTCGACTTCTCTGTGCCTCAGTGTGTTGACCTGTAAAAGGGGGATAAAACACATTGCCTGCCTCACAGGGCTGTTGTGAATATTAAATGAGTTAACATATAAAGCCCTTTAAACCAGCTTTCTCAGTGTCGCCATGGCTATCATTGCCTGTACGGTGAAACCTGTGACAGCCGGAACTCCACGGAACTGCCTTGTTTTTCCGGGTCTCACAAGCTTTCTGCCTTTCTCCTTTGACAGTCTTACCACTTTTGTATCTCTCCTTTTAGTGGAAAATATTTGAGTTTCCCCTCTCTGACAGGTTTCAGCCTTACACAGGTTCTGGCTTTTGCAGGTTTTACTGTATTTCATCTCATTCCATCCTCGCAACAACCTTGTGAGTTAGGTATTGTTATTCCCAAGTTATAGGTGAGGAAACTGAGGCTCAGGGAGGTTGAGAGAGGCTAGGCAGAGCTGGGAGGAGAGCTGAGGGCTCTGCATCTTTCTATGTGGGCTGGAGCCTGAGAGAGCAGACGTGGCTGAGACAGGTGGTAGCCTGGAGCCTCTGGTTCACAGCTTGTCCTGTGGGTCACAGGCCCTGGTCCGCCTCGTACTCCTCACAGGGCCCCCAGGACACAGGCCAGGTGGATGCTCTCCGTACCTTTCTGCTTCCAGCCATCCTGGGAAGGAGGGGAGAACTGTGGGGAGCGTATTCTTAGAGCCGTCGTATTCACTGGCATCCTTCAGAACATATTATTCGGCCCCAGAAGAGAGTCCCTGCTGTCCCCCTCCTAGCTGGACACCCAGGATTCCTGGGGTGACCTTCCGTCCTTGGACGAGTCACCTCCCTGCGCCGGCCTCCATCTTTGCATCTGTACAACGAGGATATGAGGCTAGACCAGTGATTTACAGCTCTCATTAACAGCAGCAGGCTCCATTTTTCAAATGAAATATTAAGGCAAATCACAGTCTAGGAGCCAGCAAAAGGGAGCTGCTGGTTGAAGCAGAGGCCTGTGGCCTCACTCCCTTGGCTCCTGAGAGCCTCAGAATCCAATCTGAAAACCCCCAGGCCTGATCCTCCAAAGGCACTCGGCTCTGGCACTGCAGGATTCTAGAATCCTGAGCTCAAAGCTGCCACTTCGCATCCCTGTTTGGAAAGCTCTTCCCCCAGCTGCCTTTATCTCTCTTTGGTAACAGAGCAAATTTGCTCAGGACCCAGAACAGGGGGAACAAGCAGACTATTGACTCTTGAGCAAAACCTACCCTTTGGAGAGCGCAAAGAAGGCTGAGGGATGTGCGTGGGGAGGCTGGAGGCCTCTTGCATAACCCAGGAGGCCTCTTGCCCACCGGGACCTTTTCAGGGTTAGGGGTGAGGCAAACCGCAAACTCATGCCCAGTTAATTTTTTAAGGCAAAATCAACAGGCTCAGCAATGATTAGCAGGCAGGTAAGTTCGTCTTAATCATGCTGAGGAGAGAGGAAGGAGGCCTGGAGGGGCCCAGGGATGGGGCTCAGTTATCAGTTAACTACATGAATGTTGTTTCCTTCCAAACCCACTGGCCTTCAGCCCCAAGCTCCCTCATCTTCCTCTCAGAAATGCCTCCGTGGCAAGCCGGTGGCCACCAGTCAATGAGTGAGCAGACAGGCCGCCATCTATAGTCCGTAGGAGGCACTGTCATGATGCAAAGGGGCCCTCAAGGAGCTTTTGGTCTCCTTGTCAAGACAAAGCTCACCCACCATCTCTGTGTGGCCTCGAGCAAGTCCTTCTACCCTCTGGGGTTCAGTGAGGAGCCGCAGGTCTACGGTTCAATCTTCAGCCAGCTTACCTTCTTCTGGGGCCTCAGTGTCTCCATCCATCACATGGGTGGGTTGGCAGAGCCATCCCTTCTAGTCTAGGAGTTCTGTGAGGCCATGATTTGATGAAGCCAAAGTGGCCTGTATCCAGA